AACCCCATTTTAACCCTTTCCCGGCCGTTCCTTGCAGGCTTTCGGGCGAGGCCAATGCCGGCCTCACGGCTTTGGCCGCGGCCTCGGCGCCGAGCCCGGCCTTTCCCGGCCCCGAAGCCTCGGCTGGGCTTCGGTGCCGGAGCCCGCCGGGATTTTGGGGGGTGAAACCCTCGGGGATTTCCGCCCGGGATCCTCGGGATCTCCCGGCCCAGATTCCGGGAGTGTGAGATGGGGCGGGAAAATGTTTGGGGCGGAGTTGGGGATTTAGGCGCGGTTTTAGCAGTTAGGAGCGGTTTTAGGAGCGGAATTGTGGATTTAGGATCGGTTTTAACCCTATTTAGGACTGGTTTTATCCCCAAAATTACAGATTTAGGATCGGTTTTAGCAGTGGAATTGTGGATTTAGGACCGGTTTAACCCTATTTAGGATTGGTTTTAGCAGCGGAATTGCGGATTTAGGCTCGGTTTTAACCCTGTTTGGGATCGGTTGGATTGGGTTTTGTGTTATTTAGGTTTGGTTTTGGCAGCGGAATTGTGGATTTAGGATCGGTTTTAACCCTATTTAGGATTGGTTTTGGCAGCAGAATTACAGATTTAGGATTGGTTTTAGCAGTTAGGATTGGTTTTAGCAGCGAAATTGTGGATTTAGGATCAGTTTTAACCCTATTTAGGATCGGTTTTATCCCCAGAATTACAGATTTAGGATCGGTTTTAACCCTATTTAGGATCGGTTTTAGCCGCAAAATTGTGGATTTAGGATTGGTTTTAGCAATGGAATTGTGGATTTAGGATCAGTTTTAATCCTATTTAGGATCGGTTTTAGCAGCGAAATTGTGGATTTAGGTTCAGTTTTAGCCCCGGAATTTTGGATTTAGGATCAGTTTTAACCCTATTTAGGAGCGGTTTTAGCAGCGGAATTGTGGATTTAGGATCAGTTTTAACCCTATTTAGGATCGGTTTTAGCCCCAGAATTTTGGATTTATGATCGGTTTTAACCCTATTTAGGATCGGTTTTAGCCGCGGAATTGCGGATTCAGGATTGGTTTCAACCCTATTTAGGATCGGTTTTAGCTCCAGAATTTTGGATTTAGGATCGGTTTTAGCACCGGAATTGCAGATTCAGGATTGGTTCTACCAGCGGACTTACGGCTTTAGGATCGGTTTTAACCCCAGAATTACGGATTTAGACCCGGTTTTAACCGCGACTTTCGCCTCAATTTCCCTTTCTTTCCAGAAATTTCTCCCCCAAACCCCATTTTAACCCTTTCCCGGCCGTTCCTTGCAGGCTTTCGGGCGAGGCCAATGCCGGCCTCACGGCTTTGGCCGCGGCCTCGGCGCCGAGCCCGGCCTTTCCCGGCCCCGAAGCCTCGGCCGGGCTTCGGTGCCGGAGCCCGCCGGGATTTTGGGGGGTGAAACCCTCGGGGATTTCCGCCCGGGATCCTCGGGATCTCCCGGCCCAGATTCCGGGAGTGTGAGGTGAGGCGGGGAAATGTTTGGGGCGGAGTTGGGGATTTAGGAGCGGTTTTAGCAGTTGGGAGCGGTTTTAGGAGCGGAATTGTGGATTTAGGATCGGTTTTAACCCTATTTAGGACTGGTTTTATCCCCAAAATTACAGATTTAGGATCGGTTTTAGCAGTGGAATTGTGGATTTAGGATCAGTTTTAACCCTATTTAGGATCGGTTTTAGCCGTGGAATTGCGGATTCAGGATTGGTTTCAACCCTATTTAGGATCGGTTTTAGCTCCAGAATTTTGGATTTAGGATCGGTTTTAACATAGGAATTGCAGATTCAGGATTGGTTCTACCAGCGGAATTACGGCTTTAGGATCGGTTTTAACCCCAGAATTACAGATTTAGAACCGGTTTTAACCGCGCCATTGCAGCTTTCTGCTCATTTTCATCATTTAGACCCAGTTTTAACATTGGACTTTCGCCTCAATTTCCCTTCCTTTCTAGAACCTCCCCCCCCAAACCGCAGCATCTTTATTTTTAACCCTTTCCCGGCCGTTCCTTGCAGGCTTTTGGGCGAGGCCAATGCCGGCCTCATGGCTTTGGCCACGGACTCGGCGCCGGGCAAGCGCATCCGCAAACCCTCGCTGCTCTACGAGGGCTTCGAGAGCCCCACCATGGCGTCGGTGCCGTCGCTGGCGGCTCCGCAGGCCAACCCGCCTCCGCCGGAGGTTTCCAACCCCAAGAAGCCGGGCCGCGTCACCAACCAGCTGCAGTACCTGCACAAGGTGGTGATGAAGGCGCTCTGGAAGCACCAGTTCGCGTGGCCCTTCCGCCAGCCCGTGGACGCCGTTAAGCTCGGCTTACCGGTAAGAGTTTTGGGGGGTTTGGGGGGTTTTTGGGGTGTGTGGATTTGTTGGGTTTTGTCCCTGATCCTGCTCGTCCTCAGCCTAAATTTTGTCCCTCTCAGCCACAGGTGTCGGTTTGAAAGTAGTGTTTGTTTAGGCTTGAGATTAACTTTAGGCTGAGCCTAAAAGTCATTTGAAGCTGAGCCTAAAACTGGTTTAAGCCTGATCCTTAAAGGGATTTAAAGCTGATCCTAAAAGTGATTTAAAGGTGTGCCTAAAGTGGTTTAAAGCTGAGCCTAAAGTGATTTAAAGCTGAGCCTAAAAGTGATTTAAAGCTG